TCCGTGGGCGAAATATAAAGCGGCGGGGAAAACCCCTGCTGCCTGTCTGCACTGGCGGGGCGAACACTGACGTTCTGCTGTGTGAAATCAGGGCTTCTTGCGCAAGAACTAGGACAGGAATAAGTGTTCTGCAAGAGGCCAGTGTAGACAGGCAACATGAATTTCTTGCGCAAGAAAGCCCTACGCTGGCACGGATGCTCTTGTGCAAAGGCACATGCCGGTGTAGACACTCTCTTGTACAACTACTTTAACATAAGAACTCTTGCGTTCAAGAAGCAAAATGCAGGACAATGTAGCACTTTAAAGACTAACAAGATGGTTTATTAGATGATGAGCTTTCGTGGGCCAGACCCACTTCCTCAGATCAAATCTTGCGTTCAAGAGTATTTGCACAAGATCATGCTAATGTAGACGTAGCCCTGGTGTCTCCCTTGAGCCCGCCCCGTTGTGCCCCACTGTCTGCCCTTGCCGGCCGGCTAGCCAGGGGGCTGCACTGAGAGACACATGGGTCACAACGTGAGGTGTTGCTGGTCAGTAGCTGGACAGACACATGGCTGGGTGGACGCATAGACAGCTGGGTGGGTATGTGATGGGGCCATGTCACTCCCGGGCTGTTAGCGACAGCAGCTGGGGGAGAGAGATGAGCTCTGAGCCTTGCTCAGGTCCCGCACAGGAATTCCTGTCTGCGACCCTGCTAAGTTTCCCAGACCTGAAGAAGAGCTCTGGGTGACTCGGAAGCTTGTCTCTCTCACAGGCAAAAGTTGGTACAACAAAATATATTACTGTGTCATCCACCTTGTCTCTGTATCCATGAATGGATGCATGGACAGCTCTCAGAATAAAGTACATGTGGGGTGAACGGGTAGATGGAAGAAAGTTTGGCTGGAAGACAGACTGAATAAATCTTGGAGGATTGGAAAGGTAGGAAGGGAGGGAAAAATGTGAAAGACAGATTAGTTAAAAGTCAGGATAGATGTAAATAACAATACTTAGTCCTTAATTGTATTGCTTTGCAAATGTGAGACAGGAGACAGTATCTTTATTCCCCACTTTTAGAAATAGTGATATTGAGGCACAGAGAGGGGAAGTGACTTGCTTATGGTCACTCAGAAGTTAGTGGCAAAGCCAGTAATAGAACTTAGACTCCATGTCTATGTTCAGTGCTGAAAAGCTGCCCCTAAATTATATAAAGCCACACTCATTTGTAATGCTGTGGCCTGTTCAGTGGCAACCACAGATCAAAGTGTGCAATGCAGCAGCACTTTGTTCTGAGTGAGTAGGTGGGGCCTGAAGAAACTTCATCCTTCACTTGCATCCTTCATCCTTCACTAGCCATAGAAGTATGGTACACGTATAGCTCAGTCAGCCCCAGGATGGGCTTCCCTTCCCTTGCAGAATACTACTGGTCATTGGCCCTGAAATGTGAGCCAACGGTGCTGAGATACTGCAGTGAGGAGCATGACATGAGAACCCATAATAGAATAGGGACTCTATGGGATAGAGCCTTAGAGTTGCAATGTAGAACTCACAGTGGCCTTTCAGCAATAATCCAGGCCACCTTGAACCTTCCCTTCCCATCCTAGTGGTTGGAGCCTCGATAGGAGAGTTTTGTGCAAACGGGCTGGGTGATTCCAGTTCTCCTCATATCTTTGCTTTGATGGCTAAGCTGCTCTTAGTGGACTGAACAGGCTGAGAACACACCCCGGCATTGTCTGTCCAGCCCAGTATCCTGTATCCTGATGGTAGCCGGTGCCAGGTGCTCCAGAGAGAGTGAACAGAACAGGTAATCATCAAGTGATCGCTCTCCTGTCATCCATTTCCAGCTTCTGACAAACAGGCTACAGACGCTAGTTCTACCTAGGCTGGCTGAGAGCCATTGACAGACATAACCCCCATGAATTTATCTAGTTCTTTTTTTGAACTCTGTTAAAGTCCTGGTCTTCACAACATCCTCTGGCAAGGAGTTCCACAGGTTGACAGCGCTGGGTGCTTACCCTTTGTCATGGGCCCCCATAGCTCACGTTTCCTAGGGATGGGAAAAAGTGATGCGAGTGACAAGGGTGTCACTGGTGGGACTCCTATGGCTACAGTTAGCCCCGTTCTGCTGTCTTGGGGTTAGACCCCTGAGCCCCCAGTGTGCTCTAACACTGAGCTGGGGGGGCCCTGCCCGCGGGTCACAGCGCTGGGTGCTTACCCTTTGTCATGGGCCCCCATAGCTCACGTTTCCTAGGGATGGGAAAAAGTGATGCGAGTGACAAGGGTGTCACTGGTGGGACTCCTATGGCTACAGTTAGCCCCGTTCTGCTGTCTTGGGGTTAGACCCCTGAGCCCCCAGTGTGCTCTAACACTGAGCTGGGGGGGCCCTGCCCGCGGGTCAGTGCGCGGCTCGCAGCGGGGCTCGGCTCAGCGCAGCCTGGCCCGCCTCGCGCCGCCGCGCGGT